CATGGCTCAAAATCGTTCTCAATGGATGGCACAGATGCATCCACTTCTTGTGACTTTGATTTCAAATGAAACTATATCGTTGTTCGTTATTACTACTCCTTTGTCCCACACCTCTGTTTACTGTCTCTAATATGCATTTCTCCTACCTTCTTCTCTTGCTTTGTGTGCTACATCGAGTGTGGCGACTTGAACTGCCGCATATACGTGCAAAGTTCTACGTTGAAAATAGAGAGACAGATATATATATATATATATATATATATATATATATATATATATATGGTAATAATAAACACTTTATCCCGAACAATAATGATCATACACAATGGAAACCTTTGTCAGTACGTAATGAGGTGAAAGAGAAGTGAGGATATCCGGTTACCAGGGCAAAGAAGACTGATAACTGCTTCTTTCTGAACGCATAAATCAGGTTTTAGGTGCTTGATGGAGATTGTCTCGGCAAACTTGAGGAGAATTGAACTGTTTTGCCTACTGATAACTTTGAAGGATCTTGCGACGTCCATTTCGTGACCTGCGTCAAGAAGATGCGTGGCGATGGCACTGTTTAAAGCATTTGTTACTCTTCAAAGCATAGTTATTTAGAAAAAGAAATAAGTGCTTCACAGTACTGTGTTTAAATTCATCCTGTATGTCTGTATGTGCTACTAATACTTTATGTTCAGAGATATTTCGAAGGAAAGGAAGTAAACTATTTCGTTTGGTGATTGGATCTTGCTGAGGATCGAATACTATTGACTCATAGCTTACACTCGGTCGATTACTACTTTAATTTAGTTGCGTTCTCTGAACTGGTTGCTTTTTTTAATTGACAAGCTTTCGTTGTCTCCGCTCCGCCCCCTTCTAGAAAACATCTTCAGCGTAAGTTTTAGTATGAAATGAACTTTTTTGAATTCGCCATGAATGGTATTTATTTGTGTGTCTTGACAACCGTTGTCGTGACTTGTTGTTAATTCACTTCTCTATTGATCATTTTCATTGTTTTCGAGTTTCAACTCTCTTGTCATATGAGATTTATCTCTTATTAGTGTAGGTAAGGGTATTTTTGCTGTTTCCTCTATTTAAAACTTCTACATTCTTCCAATCATCAAATTGGTCTTCCTAATTGTCTACATGCATCCATATGAAAGAATGTATATCATGCCTGTTTACAGCTAATTTATGTTCTTGGATTGTGATTCGAGAGGGACGCCTACGTTGATCGATGTAGTGTGTATCGTAGTTTATGCAATTTATGTTGTTAATGGTATTGATCTTATCTTCTTTTTCTGTTGGGTCTTTTGGTCTGCATGAACTGTTATAAACATTATATGTCGGTCAAAGTGGACGTCCATTTCGAATCAGAAAACAAGGACATAAATCAACTGTGAAAGACACTACATGTATTCTCTTTTTTTTACAATGTACGGACACCGGGTTGATTGGGAAAATGTAGACATTTTAAATAGAGGAAACACCAAAACTACTACTGCCAGGGAATTTCTAGAAGCCCGGTGGGTGGGTGGGTGGGTGCTCAAGTGAATCAGCGATTAACAAACATTATTGTAGTACAAATTTACCGACTAAATAAGGAATAAATCATACGACAAGCAAGTTCAAATCCAAAATCAATAAAAACGGTCAATAAAGATGAAAATTTAATAACCAATCAGGATAATAGTTGTCAGAAGATACAAAAGAATTCATTTCATGCTAAAAGCCTGTGCTGAAGATGTTGTCTTCAGAGGAGGACAACGAAAGCTTCTCAATTACATCAACCAGCTCAGGGAGCACAACTAAATCAAAATCATCCACCTGAGCTAGGAATCTTCCCCCATGATTATTATTTCAGTTAAAGTGTTTTTTATTTTTATTTCAAATTCTTACTGGTAATTTTATATCTAATGATCCAGTCAGAATTATGCAACTTTGATTAGTTCTAAGTTACACAGTCTGGTAAACTGTGTTATCAGATGGAAAACTAGTGTAACAACAGAAGACAAGGGCCAGGTAACAGATCATTTATTACGAAAAATCAACACGTATTTATAGATTTTTATGTACATTATTGTAGGTCAATGTTAGTAGAAAATACAGTCTGTTGATTGGTTGTTTCTCACACAAAGTTAACCTTGCATCTCTTGTGGCTGTGTCAGTTCATCTATATGTTAACTGTAACCGCCTGTCCACCTTGACCTTTGACCTCAATTACTGTCAACCAATTTGGCCAGCAATCATCTCTCACCACAACATGACTAATATTTGATACATAAACATTGACCTCAATTACTGTCCACCACTTGGCTAGTAGACCGCTCTCACCACACTCGTCCCCCCGTCAAAGACTTGCGACTGAAGTTGGTGCGGTCTTCTCGGTTCTTGGGGCTTTTCTCTTTTGTCTTGCTCTCTGAAATCTCGGCGCTTGCGGATGTTCACTTGTTTCTCTGTGTTTGCCATTGCGATTGCGTCTGCGTTACCCCATCTCAACGTGACCATATATGGTCCTTCCCACTTTGGAAACTGTTTGCCTGACCCTGTTGCACATTCGTAGGTATTTCGCCTCACACTTCCATATGCTGCTTTCTCCCGACCTCCCAGCAGCGTCCCAAGTAGCAGCCTTATCGCTGACAGATCTTGAACGCCACTCAACTGCGAATAAGCCTCAAAGTCCTGCCCGAAGATCCATATGTCTTCATCAAAAACTGCAGGGCATAGGCTTTCCATTTGTCGGTAGGCAGCGACACCAAATGTAACAACAGAAGACAAGGGCCAGGTAACAGATCATTTATTACGAAAAATCAACACGTATTTATAGATTTTTATGTACATTATTGTAGGTCAATGTTAGTAGAAAATACAGTCTGTTGATTGGTTATTTCTCACACAAAGTTAACCTTGCATCTCTTGTGGCTGTGTCAGTTCATCTATATGTTAACTGTAACCGCCTGTCCACCTTGACCTTTGACCTCAATTACTGTCAACCAATTTGGCCAGCAATCATCTCTCACCACAACATGACTAATATTTGATACATAAACATTGACCTCAATTACTGTCCACCACTTGGCTAGTAGACCGCTCTCACCACACTAGTAGTTAGTTGTGTTTCGCAACTTTTTCAGTTATATGTAAAAATTTTGATCAAACACTAATCAGTAACTAGTGTAATGTATCTAGTCCTATCTTCGATGCAGACTGAATTCTTTTTATCAGTCAAGCTTGCAATGTGGCCACCGTTGTTAGGTGGCTTGCCATCACGGTGCACTGTAAATGACACTGCTTAAAGCGGAGCTTGTGTTTCAGGACAGGCATATTACTTACGTTTACATTTGTTCTGTGAATGAATTTTAATGTATCCTATTTTTAATTACACTTATCCATTTTGCAAATTATTCGTTCAACTGATAATTATAATTTCTATCAATTATTGAACTTTCGTGAGTTAGTTTGTGGGGATTCCATTTGCTTTGAAGTTTGATCATGCATTCATATCATCTGGAGAACTATTTAAAACCAACAGGGAGAACTGGACAGCCAGCTGTTTCGCCCTAGTACCTGGAACTCATCGGCAGCACGTACCCATCGACCGGTTTCTAAACCCAGCGCCTTTTGGCTATAAGTCAAACTCGTAGACCATTCAGCCATTGGGACCTGATGTAATAGTCTATGAATTCTAACAGCCAATGACAGTGGCCTAATTATTATTATTATTGTTCCCTTGGGTTCCTGGTGGAACATAGGGCTTCAACTGCACGTCTCCATTTGCTTCTGTCTTCTGCTGTACTTTTCACCTGCATCCATGTCAGTCCATGCTGTTTCAGCTCCTCGTCACACCATCTCCTCCATGTCACTTTTGGACGTCCCACTCGCTTCCATTTCAGGTTCCACTTCAGCTATGGCCTGACGCGCGATGTCACCCAGAGGCCTCCTGAGCCAGTGTCCTATCCATCTCCACTTTCTCCTGCACATTTGTTTGGCGATTGGTTCTTGTTTCGTTTGTTCCCATAGTTTCTTGTTGGTGATTCTTTCCAGCCATGTGATCTTCAGTATAGAGCGAAGGCAGTTGTTGATAAAGGTCTGCAACAGGCTGTTGGAAATATTCTTTGTGACCCACCAAGTTTCTGATCCGTATAGAAGAACTGACTGACTTGACGTCGTTTGTATTGAAAATCCGAATTTTGTTGTTGATGCAGGCTGAGTGACGAAGATTTCCAGATTAGTTTCAAGTTGATGAGTGTGTTTCTCGCCTTCTTGAGTTGTCGATTTGACATCCTCGTCTGTTACTCCTGTAGTTGAGACAATGCTCCCTAGATAAGTGGATGAAGTAACCTCTTTCAAATCCATCCCATTGATGGTGATTGGTGCTGGATGTTGCTGATGCTGTTGTTGGTTGATTGGTTATTTTCATAACCTCCGTTTTGTCTATGTTCACCTGGAGTCCTGTCTTCACTGGCTGCTTCTTCGACCAGTTTGTCGGTTTTCGCTTGTAAGTCTTCGATTTTGTGTGGCATCAAACATAAATCATCCACGCGCGAAATCCAGGTCTTCTAGGTTATTCACGTCGGTCCAGGATATCCCTGTCTTCTCGTTTCTCACTGTCTGACGCATAATCCAGTGCACCATAATTAGGAATATCACTGGTGATAATAAGCACCCTTGTCTGACTCCTTTGTTTGCTCCAAACGCCTCGCCTAATGGTCGCGCTAAAATTGCCATTTGGTAAAAAGTTAAAATCGATGGTCTTCATTCGCAGTGGCTGAATAATAATCTACAAGCTTGACATGTAACCGGAATGTCGTGAATTCGAGTCCCAGTGTGAGTCCCACCGATGAGTAGTAGTCCCAAACTAGGAGTAAACCACTGTTCAGTACTCCCTGTTGGTTTTTAATGGTTCTCCCTAACTGCTATCAATCCGTGATTAAACTTGAATAACTTTTATTTATTATCGTAAACATAATTTTATACCATTTTTTAATTGTTCTCTTATCTTTATTGGTTTTTAGATTTTATAAACAAATATGTTCATTAACTCCTATGGAATTGTACAGTGAAAAGAAGAATATTTTATTAAAGAAGCATATTGTACAAACTGAACTAGTGGAGTATGAAAATAATATCCAGCGTTTATTAGGTATGATTATATATATGCGATATTTTTTAAAAATTTTATTTGTTTTTCAGGATTAATCATGAGCTGATACCAGTTAGAGAACCACTGGAAAACCAACTGGGAGTACTAGACATGTGTTTCGTCGTAGTTCAGGTCTCTTCATTGGTACGCACGTATCGGGGTTCTACCTGAAAACCTATCGACCTCGTAGACCATTAGGCCACTGGGACCTGATCCAATGGTCGATGAATTCCAACTCCTACCAGTTCATGATATATATATATATATTTAGCGCAACCGGAAGGTCTTGGGTACTGATGAAGAGTCCCAACCTAGGACAAAACAGCTGTCCAGTACTTCCAATGGTTCTCTAGCTGGTTTCAGTTCGTTGTCAATCCTCTGAGCAGTCATATCCCTGCAAACCAACACTTTATTGGTTTTTGTTAATTCACTTTTGCACTTCAGGTACTCTTTTTTACACTTTGTATCGAATGTTTACTTAGATCTGTAATCCTAATTATTTATTGTGTTAATAATTTCGAAAGGACTGAAAATTTCGCCTCTTCCATGTGTTTCTACCAATTTAACTGCTCCTGTGGAGCCAGTTACATAGGCCGTAAAATTAGGCGTGTTTCTTCGGCGGATTTCCGAACATCACCCTGCATATTGGTTAAGTAAACGACAAACAAAATCTATTCACATAGAGCTATTCTATCTCATCTTGTGGATGCAACAGAACACAAGATTGATGTCAACGGGGCTTTCAAAGTCATTTACTGCATACCAACAAATCTTAACTTCGCCTTAAGAGTTCGATTACTAAAATATTGCTGAGGCTGGTTGTTGGGATCCATATTAAGAAGCCTAATTTGTGCCTCCAAAAGAAGTTAGTTCAGACACTGTCCTTACCTCCCTGGCCATCAGGGTTCTAATGATCCTAAATTTGTTGTGGAGATTTCCTTAATTTCAGTTAATATTCTATTTGCTACTATATTTTTATTATTATGATGATATAAGCATCTTTAATGAACTGTAATTCCATTGATCTTACTTAACAAATCGATATTATTTAAAAAACACTAATATTGTTATTGACTACTATTCCAGAATATTCTATGTATATAAACATATGTATTTTTTTTCTATAGTTTGGTTTGTAAGGGTTTGTTATGTTTTTACGAGTTGATCACGGACTGATATCAGTTAGAGAACCATTGAAAACCAGGGAGTACTGGACAGCTGCTGTTCCTTACAAACCAAACTATAGAAAATTATTCTGATGCTCGCTAGTGACTTGCTACAGGCTGGAGCTTCCTGGAGTTCTAGTGAGACGTCGTGACCAGTGAGGTCCAATTAGAAGTCACGTGTGTGGATGGATGTCCCGCAAACGACAATAGTTGGGGTCGCGCTAAAATCACGAATTGGTAGAAGTTAGAATTCATGAGCCATTGAATCGGGTCCCAGTGGCTGAATGGTATACGAGCTTGCCTTGTAACCGGAAGGTCCTGGGTTTGAACCCTGGTGAGTGGGGTGCGTACTGCCGATGATTCTCAAACTAGGATGAAACAGTTGTGCAGTACTCCAGTGTTGGTTTTCAATGGTTCTCTAACTGATATCAGTCCGTGATCAACTCGTAAAAAAACATATGTATAATTGTAGAACCAGAAGAGGAATTTATCGAAAAGGATATTATTTGCTCAATTATTTTGTTTTTTACAGATGCCTGAATGAATATTTTCGCTATACTAAAATCCTAGTTGGTGATATTCGAGTGTTGATCGCCAGTAATTTGACTGGTTTCTAATCGTAGATCACTAGCTGACGATATCAGTTAGAGAATCACTGAAAACTAAGGGCACTTTTTGTTTCGTCTTAGTTTGAAACTGTCCTAGGCTACTGGGGCGGGGGTGTCATGCGTGTGTTTTGCTAAAGAGTCTCTGAAACTAAGAGGAAACAGCTATCCAGGACCACCTTGTTTTTTTCAACTGTTGTCTAACTGATGTCAACTTGTCATATAGTGATTCTGTTGTTTTACTGATGACTATGAGCAATAAGACGACTGTTCCCGAAACTTCATCGATATATTTTTTTAAAAATGCCTTCACTGTATGCTACATTAAGTAAAATTACCATATTACAAAACTAGATACTAAAATAATGTCCATTTTATTTCTATTTCACTGGAGCTTTAGCTGGTCGGCACAGTTAGGGGTGATGGGGAGAGAGGGGGTATGAATATGTTGTTCGAATTGTGAAAGTGAATTCAAAAGGATCTTTTTGAAATCACTAAGCAATAATCTTTCAGTTTGATTGTACCTTAGTATTAAATTATCACGGATGATGATTATACGGCATATCCTTTTTTTGAAGTGGCGCCACCTTCTTTATCCAGTGGGGGTATTAGGGCGTTCAATAAATAGGCCAAAATATACCGGCATGATATCATGATAATTCAATAATATACGTTTAACTTTAGAACCTACCACCTCCTTTATTCCTTTACAACATTGCGCAGATATCAGTATCAAGCCAGATTTTCTTAGAAAAGTGCAGTCGATGTAATGCAGTTCCAGAATATAATGCTACCGACAATATGTGCGCCAGAAAAAAGATTTCTAATGCAAAATTCCATTTAAAAATCAAATACAAACTATAACCAGTCACTAAATCACCATAGCAACGGGTTACGGCGTTACACTTAGCGGGGATATATACAATAAAGCCATTCAGTTATCGCTATTGTCTGATAGTTGTATTGCTGCTTGAGAGTATACTTTTTATTATTTAGTTTGAATTTAGACATTATTTAACACGTTCGTGCTTTGTGTCTCACTAACGTCTTCACTTGTGCAGCTTTGTCCTTATTATAACATAGAGAGAAAGTATCACGTTTTGTTTGATTTTAAATATACATGTAGGACTTTCTTTGTCGCTGAGATTATACACACTACTATCCCACAAGCCTGGATATCAACGGTTTTTAAAAAAGTAATCAAGTTTGTATGTTGCTGGTTAACTTCTAGATTGACAGAAATCTTGTCTCACTTGATTATTAGTCATACACACACACACACAAAAATTTCGTATATTTACACTTTCTTGTTCATCAAATTCGAAAGTAAAGTAGGTCGGTATACTTTTGATTATGCATCATAAGTGTGTTCATTGTACTTACTTTACTTCGGCTATCTCCTACGGAAGGATGAGCCGGCTTCATGAACATCTCGAATCATCGCTGCCCAGGCGTGGCGATCTGATGAAGAGAGTTCTAGAAGTTTCATGGGAATTTGGTACGAGTGATGTCCCCAGAATCGCTCGGCCTTTTGTCTGAGAGTGCAGCTCTAGCCTTTACACAACCAAGTGTGACCTACAAGGCAGTATGAGTGGAGTAGGGAGTCCACTATCCATTGGCAGCCGGTGACCGGAGTTCGGTTAATACGCCTTTTTGAATGGGGCCAGACATCCAGGACATCCAACAAGCCCTTTGTCCATACGTCTGCCGGTGAGCTCCAGTGAGCTTCATACGCCAGTCATTGGAGGTTTGGAATCAGGGTTTAGCCATCTCCCCTAGACTGTCATCCAATGGACAGTCAACCCGGTGAAGAGTGCCGGGCATCCGCTTTTGCCCTCTCACTTTGGTGAAAAACACCTCCGCCACGTGAAGGCAGTGAGTAGGACTTCCTCAGGAGAGGCTATGTAAGACGCCTGGTCATATGGGAGCACTTCAAGAGGTGTGCGAAGGGGTGGCCAACCCGCAGCGCAAGGCACCCACCCCCGACCATCCTGAGGCTTTGGAATACTCAGTTATACGTGTTTTCCAGACCTGATGATATCATTTCCTATATCATTAAAATTTTTAAGTATTGGTTTGTAGGGATTTTGTTTGATTGGTTGAAGGATTTCATCATGAGCCGATATCGGTTAGAGAAACACTGGAAAACCTGGGAGTACTGAATATCTGTTTCGTTCTGATTTGGGACTCTTCATCAATACACACCCACCGGGGTTCGGACCCAGGACCTTCTGGTTACAAGGCCAGCTAGTTCGTAGACCATCAAGTCCCTGGGACTCGATCCAATAGCCCATGAATTCTAACTTCTGCCAATTCACGACATAGCGTGACCACTTAGCAATATCTCCTTCGATGATTAACTGTCCTCATTAAGACTTAACTAAAGTTCTGGTGATTAACTTTAACACTTTCGTAATTTTCCAAGTCCTGTTTGGTTCAATATTGCAAAATCTGTATTATTATTATTTGCCATTATTCCTTTGGGTTCCGAGTGGAACATAAGGCTTTAATAGCACATCTCTATTTATATCCTGTTCTTTGTAGTTCTCTTTAGCTTGCCCGACAATCGCCTCACGGTCTCTTCAGAGTATGTGTGTGTATGTCCCATGGATCTTTATTTCCTTCGGCACATTTGTTAGAAAATGGGTTCTTGATTGGTTCGTTGCCATAGATCCCTCTTTTGCGTATCTTTTCTTGCTATGTGATCTTTAGTACGGAGCGAAGGCGAGTGTTGATAACCGTCTGTAGCTGGCTGTTGGAAAAAGCTTTTCGTGACGCTCAAGCCAAGTTTCTGAGCCATATACAAGAAGTGACTGACTGACCTAACATTGGTATCGAAAATCTGAATTTTGTTGTTTGTGCTGAGAAGTGCAGGAGATTTCCAAACTGATTTGAAAGTCATGAACGTGTGTCTTGCCTTTTCGATGCTGACTGCTTTTGACATTTTCATTCGTTTTGTCGCCTGTAGTTGAAATGATGCTGTCTGGACAGATAAGTCAAGGAAGGGATTTCTTTCAAATTCCTCGCGTTATTAGTGTTTGTTGTTGTTGTCTCTGGTCGTCAGGTATATTCACCACCTCCGTCTTCTCTAAGTTCACTTAAAGTGCTATCTTTGCTGCCAACTTCTCCGAACTTGTCGATTTTTGCCTACAAGTCTTCGAGTTTGCGTGATATTGTGTGACAGTAATCATCTGCAAAGTTCAGATGTTTTAGTCGCCTTATCAATCCA